ATCACTAGAATTCACAGCTTGGTATCAATAAGTATAAATTTATAATCATGTAGCCATGTACCCCATGTCCATCATTGGAATTCACTGCTTGATCCAATGCCATGTAAAAGAATAAAAGTAACAAGCAACAAAAACATGCATTATGACCAAAGTGCTAGCTACAGTCTGACAAACATAACCCAACAAGCTAGGACAATATAGTTTGGCTAAATCAGCAACACTACCAATCTGCCAAGATCCATGGCAAATCGAAAATAGAAATCTGCCCAAAGCTAATGTATGACAAAATAAACAAAAAAGTGCATGTTGAATAAAAAGATTAATTCTCCAAATTAAATATAAGCATTTCCCAGCTTGGCAACGTGTTCTCAAGTGTCAACATATACGACATCATCATCCAATCCACTCTCTTGCAAATATGTGAGTAGGTAAAAAACATTAGAGATTAATATAAAGTAAAATCTCAGGAGATTGAAAAAATAGAACTAAAACACATAATACAATGAGATAATCACCTTTTTCAAGCTCATCCATATGTTTCAAGTTTTCCTCAACATCAACTCCTGAAGCAGTCCTTACTCGAATCCAATCTTGCACACACACAAGGGCTTGTACCATCTTCCAATAACATGAAAATAAATTCCAACAAATAGTATTAAAGATTAATTTTTATGAGATTGTAATCAATAATTTATATTAATTAACAAAGAGAAAGAAATGAATCACCTTTGGGGTCAAAGAACTCCTAAAAGGATTGAGGTGTCGACCTCCTGTACTAAAATCCGGTTCAGAAGCAACAATACACAATGGTATTGCTAGTATATCGTGTGTCATGCGTGAAACAATAGGAAAATGATGCCCATTAATAGCCCACTAAGATAAAGCATTCATGTCTTCTTCTTCCTTCCCTAGTTGTTCATTCAAATACATATCAAATTCACTTCTTACAAACTCATCGCATCCTTCTAAGCATTTTGCTCTATCCCTTAAGCTTCTAGTGTGTGTGGAACTTCCTCCACCCCCTACATTATCCTCTTCTATTGATCCATCAACTCATTATTCTGACCAGTTTGATGAGTATGAGATGTATACATTGTTCTATACTCATCAAATAAAGTATAAGCAAATTCCTTCACATCGTCTGTTACTTGTTTACCCTTGTCCTTACCATTCATGTCAGTGAGTGTGATTTCAACAACTAACAACTTAGAATGAGGATCCAGAATTGCAGCAACATAAATGAAGTTATTCATTTTATCTACGTCGCCCCAATACTTTTTATATTTTTGCTTCATGGCAGTAGCCATATCACGAAAATTCTTATCAACATTTTTCTCCCATTTATTCAACATATCACAAATGGCAACAATTTCAAATAAAAAAAACTATTACTAGTCGGGAACGATGTCAATCCATTTGGTATAGACAGCTCACTAAAACTATTACTAGTCGGGAACGAGTTACGGCGTAAAAACCTTTGAAGAACACTACCAACCTTTGCACTTTCTTCCAATCATTAGATCCTTCAGTCTTTTAATTGTTAGGAATATTCAATCCATTTGGTATAGACAGCTCACTAAAAACACGTTGAAATTTCAAAGCGGTGTCTAGCATCATATAAGTTGAGTTCCATCGAGTGGGAACATCAAGAGACAAAGACGATTTGCTTTCTATTTTTTAGCTTTCTGAAAAAGATCTTTGAAACTTTGTAGTCTAGCAAGAGAATTCTTAACAAACTTAACACCATGCCTAATTCTATCAATGCTAGTGCCATTATCTTTGATTCCATCCCAGACAATAAGATTGATAATGCGATCAATGCATCTGATATGAAGATATTTCCCCTCAATAATATATCATGTTCGTTGAACCATTGTTCTAAGGTGAGCACAAGCAAGATCATTAGAACTAGCATTGTCTACCGTGACCGTAAAAAGCTTGTCCTCAATACGCCAAACTCTAAACATGACTCAACAACTTAACCAAAGCCTCATCTTGGTGGCTAGAAATGGGACAAATTTATTAGTTTTTTATGCAACTTCCAATGGTTGTCTATAAAGTGAGCCGTCAAACACATATAATTAATCCTTTCTATTGAAGTCCAAGTGTCTATTGTCACATGTATTCTTTGACAAGAATTTTTGAACAAGTCTTTCAACTTAATCTTTTCACTCATATAAGGAGCATAACAATCTCGAGCAATAGCGGTAGGAGATGGAATGTGAAATCGAGGGCAAGCAATAGACATGAAATACTTAAAATCGGCTTTCTCTAGATGTCTAAAAGGAAGCTCATCCATTATAGTCATCTTAATTAATGCTTCCTTAACCTCTTTTAAGTTCACACTCCCATATTTCAATTTGCTAGCACAATCATCTCCATTATCCCCAGACTGAAAAACTAACTTAGTTTGTTTTCCTTTACCTTTTTCTTTATTAACCAGATTACCTAAGCACTTTTCTGAATGAATTTTTTACATTTTTGGAACCATTATTATTTTCATCAGTAGCAAAGATTTTATCACAGAACTTACATTCAGGCCTCAGTGATTTATCTTCCAAATACTCGAGGTAGTTCTCCCAATATGCTGCTCTTCGTTTACTCTTCCTAACCAAGTATTTGCGTCCTTCCCCAAGCTTCTTTTCATGTGGCAACACTTTGCACAACTCTTAAAAATCAGTTCTAGTAGCTGCATCACACAATAATGTAGATGCACTTTGTTCTAGAATACATTGCTGGTCTTTTTATTTGGAACTCTCTATCTAATAGAAATAATAAAAAATTAAATGTTATTAATATCCACTCAATAAGATTTCATTTTCAAAACACCTCAATTGCTTTTTAGGCATTAAGAGCATTGATATTTTCAACTGGTAAGACATTGTCCAGTACTCCAGTGTCCATAATCCAAGTAGTAAATTTCAAAACATTTCTCCTAAATGTTTTTTTACTAAGTAGTAAATTTTTTCTGATTTAATTTATGAGACATGAATGGATTTTAAAATTGTAGTGTACTTCAAAAAAGTAAAGCCATAGAATGAAAAGTTCAAACTGGATTACAGGAAGTGAGGAAACAAAGAAAGTTTCTAGCTCATCAACTAAGGTTCATAAATTAGGCATAGAATAAGGCTATCAGTCAAATTAGGCATAGAATAAGGCTATCAGTCGAAACATATTGGGCATTTGGGGTGTCATACGTCTACAACCCAAGCCCAAGCTATAGCTAAAATAATATTAATAACTCAGGTTACCGGATCGGGCCTGTTTTTTTTTCGGGTTTGGCCCAGACCGGACCGGAACCTGGAATCTCTATTTTTTAATGGACCGGAGATCGGACCTGTGTACTCCAGACCTGTCCACTCCGGTCCGGTTCAAGTCCAAAATACGGTATGGACAGTTTATGCACACCCCTAGAAACCAATGCAGCTATGGTGCTATCATGTATCCAAGGGAGGATCACGACTCTCAAGTGGGTTTCATCTTCGAAGATTTAAAATCTCTAATGATTGATGATACTAATCTTAAAATTAAATGGTGTGGGAGATCAGTGGATCAGGTGGATCATACCATTTTAAGAGCACTTCTTTTTATGTCTGGCCAAGTTTATAGTTTTACAATGATATCTTCTTTTATTGTAAGCTATTTGGCAAATGATATTTTTATATATTGGCGTTTTCTCTCAAAAAGTACTCTACATTTTCAGATACTCTACTTTATAGATGGAGAGATTATAGTTCCAACATGTTATAAATTTAAGAAACAACAATTACAACATTTTGCATAATTAAGGGTCAAATGTTTCCGAAATGTCTAACTACTTTATCACATTACTAACAGAACAATTAAGACATGAGGTGCATTCATGATTCGTTATAAATTCAAATGAAAATTCATTTTTGTTAAATACAAATATATCTCGGAAATGCTAAAAAATATTCGCATAAATATCCAGATACATTTATTTGGGGTGTCATTAAATGTCACAATTATTTTATGCGCATACATTGAACTTGCTTTTATAACTAAATTAATTGAATTTGATGAACAAAATTATTTTAGCCATTTCTCGTGCATTTTTTCATAGTTTCTTAATAAAAATTAAATTTTACCAATTTGAACTCATTCAATTAATTGAATTAAATAAACAAAATTATTTTAGCCATTTCTCGTGCAGTTTTTACTTTTTTATTAATATAAAATTAAATTTTACCAATTTGGACTAATTCAATTTGATAACAAATATGCTCTCAATTTGCATCGGTCAACACTTAAAAATAAGAGTTATTCTTGGTGTACACAAAGTTGTATACAAATTTTAGGATGTTTTCTTTTGGACTGTTTTCAGTCCCAGACCAGACCAAACCAGACTTAAACAGACCAGACCAGACCAGACTTAAACAGACCAGACCAGACCAGACCAGACTTAAACAGACCAGACCAGACCAGACTTCCGTAGTTATAAAATACACAGAGACCAGACGTTTACCAGACCAGACCAGACCAGACCAGACCAGACCAGACTTAAACAGACCAAACCAGACCAGACCAGACTTAAACAGACCAGACCAGACCAGCAAATTTCAGTCCAAAAGAAAACATCCTTACACTGCTTGTTTACATAGGCATTTTAGCATGAAGTCTTGTCTTTCCTTCAACAAGTTACATGTATACAAAGGTAATTAGAGGGTGCATAATTTGTACTCCCTCCGTATCAAATTACTTGATTCACTTTCCTTTTTTGGGGTATCAAATTAATTGACCTATTTCCCCTTTTGGAAAGAATTCCACTCAAAAAGAAGCTACAGTACTGCTACAGTACTGCTACAGTGTCGCTATAGTACCAAAAACCTCTTTACTTTTAATAAAGTCTACAATAATTGTCTTAAACTGCGTGAAAAGCAAATGGGTCAATTAAATTGATACATATACTAACTTGGGGTACCCTAAGAATTTTTCTAAAAATTATGGAATTCCGTTGAGAAAAAGGGATCATACATCACCTTCAATCACACAGCTATTCGAACGCAAGAGACGCTTTGGAGTTTTCGCGTCACGCAAACGTATTTCCCAACTCCAAATACTCTCTTTCTTCTCCCCCCTTACTTACTTGCACAGATTGCGCGTAAATCGCGGTGTCATTTTCCCGGAAAAACCCACAAGATGCGCTTCCATTTCTATCCCATTTGAAGACAAGTCATTCGCATTATCGTATCCAGTTTCTTTTTTTAATTTTTTATTTCTAGAAAAAGTCTTCACTTTGAGGTGTCTTTTAAGGAAAAATTGAAATCTTCGCTTGTGGGTTCTGCCGGAGTACTGGGTTTCCGGCTCTCCGGTCGCCGGACAGTCGACTCAATTGACTAACACTAATTTTTCTTCCATTTCTTAGGTTTGGTTTTATATGGTAACAAATTTTCTTTTTTTGCGATCGAAATTAATACCGCTCCATAATAAGTCATCAAACAATTAGCATCTCTCGTTGTCATGTAAATGGTCGACGAATAGAATCCCGTTTTCCTCTCTTTCGCTTTCTCTTCCCTCACCGATAATTTATCAAAATTTCCTCCTCTTCCCCTTCTTCCCATCCCCTGTTCTGGTTTCCTCTGTTTTGCAGAGGTTGAAGAGAGAGAAACTGTGTCCCTCTTTCTCTCTCTTTCATTTCTGCTTTCTTCCTCTTCCCCATTGCTTTTTTTTTTTTGTCTTCAGAAGAATGGCACTTCATAGGGGCTCAATGGATTCAAATCTGGATAGCCTTCTGGTGTGCACCACCCCTGCTGTTTCTTCTCAATCTTTGCCCAAGGTTCTGTTAATGCCCAATTCAAAGTTTGATCTTGCATGATCTAGGAATTTCATTCCACATATATTTCATTCCATGATAGGTTTAATGCATATTTATTCATTGATTTTGAATATATATGAAATTATTTGTGGGCAGGGCGAGATTCGGAACTTTAATAAGCTATGGCTTCCATGTGGGCAAGAGAGGGTTGAGTACTTTACCTTGGCTGATCTTTGGAGTTGTTATGATGAATGGAGTGTATATGGTGCTGGTGTTCCTATCAGATTGGACAATGATGACACCTTAGTTCAATATTTTGTCCCTTATCTCTCTGCCATCCAGATATTTACCAGCACCTCTTCTGTTAATTGTCTAAGGTAATTAATTTATTCCCACATTCTTCCATTTCTTGATTTTATTCTTAGAGAGTAATTTTCATTAAACTTTTTAGTCAGAATTATGATCAGTTATTTTTTTTCTGAAAGAGGGCTTTTGGATTTGGCTGGTTCTTTCTTGATAATAACTTATTTTTGTGAATAAAGTATTTATTATTGATCTTATAGGGATGAGAGTGATTCAGCTTGTGAGACTCGAGATTCATTTAGCGATTCATTCAGTGACGAAAGTGAGAGTGAGAAGCTGTCTAGATGGGACGGATGCTCCTCTGAAGAGGGCTTGTATGAGCATGATGGTCTCTGGCATTTGAATGATAGATTGGGTTACCTCTACTTTCAATACTTTGAACAATCTGGTCCCTATGGACGAGTTCCTCTCATGGATAAGGTGTGGCTTTTCTCACTTGGCATTCATTTTTTGTTTTTTGTTTTTATGTCTTATTTTCTGTTTATTTCTGAATTTTAAATGTTTAGCTTTTATACCACTTCTGTAAAGGCTTGTTTAAGGAATAATCAGAAAGCTATTCATTCTATATCCGTTTAATATCATAGGATACAAATAAAGATATGTGGTAGTCTTGATGATTTAGAATGGATTAGCATACTGATTTTAATATATTTCTTTTTTAACCAAATGTTTTGTTTTGCTTTCTTCAAGCTTTTGACACTGTATTTGAATCTTGCTTTTTTCCCCGCAGTGGTGTAAGGAATTCCACAATTGATAAAATGCCATCTCTTTTTGTGCTCCATGGAATTTCTTTTGATGCTCCTAGGCATATTTTGTTTCTTTTGATGTTTTCCAGTTGTTTGATAACGGACAACATGATATTTATGTTCCAGGCACCATATTCTTATATATCCATGCTGTTTTCTTGTTGGTTTATAGTCCATAGATCAATCTGACAATTATTTATATTTATTTATTTCAGATTAACAGCTTAGCTCAACGACACCCTGGATTAATGTCATTAAGAAGTGTAGATCTTTCACCTGCTAGTTGGATGGCAGTTGCTTGGTATTTTTTGCTCTTTCTCTCAAGATGGCAATAACTAAATTAATTTATTAATTAATTAGTTAATAAATAAATAAATAAATAAATAAATTAAAATATATCATGGAGTATAATTCTCTAAATAAGATTCATTTCATCTAGGCCATATTCATGAAGGGCATTATTATTAATTCCTCACAATTTTAATGCATCAGTATATATCCTTTTTGTTAACGAAATATGATTCCTTTTTCAGTTATACTAATGAAAAAGTAAATGATAGAAAGGAATAAATAGAAGTGTGTGTAAAGAACTCTCATTGATGTGAAAATATTCAGGTACCCTATATACCACATTCCCATGGGCAGAACCATTAAGGACTTGTCCACCTGTTTTCTTACATTCCACACGCTTTCCTCCTCTTTCCAAGGTAGTTTTATTCATTTTGTGCATTTGTCCTATCCACCATTTGCTTATATTCCACTTCTATTCTACGCAGTATTATTCTAAAAAAATGTGTATTCTTTTCTTGACTGGCATCCTTGACTCCTTGTACTATACAAAGTATCCATAACTGTTGAAAATTCCAGATATGGACACCGAAGATGATATTCTGGGGAATGTGTTTAAAAAGGCGAAGGCACGAGGGGCTGTCCCTCTCCCGCCGTTTGGTTTAGCCTCTTACAAGTTGCAAGGGGATGTTTGGTTATCTGAAAAGAGAGGTAGGGATAAAGAGAGGCTGGTGTCACTATTCAGTGCCGCGGATTCATGGCTAAAGCAGTTGGGGGTCCAACACCATGACTTTAACTACTTCGTCGGTATGCGCCATTGATGAACTCCCCAACATTTCATCTAAACTCACTTGGAAGTGGGCTAGAAGAAAGAAGCAACTTTATTATTATTTTTCATAACGGCCCTAGATCGTCCAGTTAGGTGCTTAGTGTGGACTCCTTTTTTACATGACGTGACCAAAATATAATATCTTAAAGTTGAAAATAATATTTCTTAAAACTTTTTTTTTGAGAAATATTATTTTCTAATGTCGAAGTATTACTTTTTTTGTCACGTGAGACAATTCCACAGGAGATCACATCCTGGTTTTTCACTGTGGCGTGCTACTGTTAATTTTTATTCAAACTGGCTTAGGGTCTGAGCTTTGGGGATGTGTATATAGGGAAGAAAATGTAGTCTTTGGGAGAGATGGACAGTAAGGTTATTCGGCCATAAGCTTTCCGAATGTGACTTGGCTTGGTTTGTTGTAATTGAGCCGTGGCCGGCCTCAAACCGGGGCATGCAATGTTTGCTCTGCATCTTGTTTTTGTACAATGCTGATAGCTTCTTGTTTTCATCGTCAGCTTTTTTTTCACTAAGTAGCTTCCTTATTTTTTGAATTAGGATAGAGAAACCTTTTCTATATAAAAAAAATAGTCACAACTTTCTGCATTTTAAAAGGGAAAAAAATATAAAAAAATCTTCGTGCCAAAAACAAGTTTTTTATTTCTTATTTGGATAATTGGATGTACTAAAACCAATCTCTCATTTTCTTTAAAAACATACGGAGTAATTGACAAATACCATGGGTGTTCCTACTTTTTGTTCAATTTGACATAAAGGTATGCCTCAAATAGTCAAATGTCAAACTTTCTTTTATTTTTTCCATTAAAATATTTGGAAGTAGAATTGAGAAATTGTTTTTAGTACTAACGTAGTAGTGACGGTAGTACGGAGTAATTATTAATGAGTTCTTTTGTGAATGGGATGCAATTTAGCATTGGAAATGGCGTGGTTTGTTGACAGGTTCCTTTTTTCATCATCAGCTTTTCACCACTTGAAGCTTCCTTATTTTTTGAATTAGGATGGAGAAACCTTTTTTATATAAAAAAAGTCATAACTTTCTGCATTTTATAGGAAAAACATGCTCGTATATTAAAGCATCTTTGTGCCAAAAACAAGCTTTTATTTATCTTATTTGGATCATTGGATGTACTAAACAAATCTCTCATTTTCTTTAAGAAAATAAATGACAAACACCATGGGTGTTTCTCCTTTTTGTTAAATTTGACATAAAGGATTCGTCAAAAGTCAAACTTTATTTTCTTTTTTACCTTGAAATATTTGGAAGTAGAATTGAGAATCTGTGTTCAGTACTATGAAGTAATTATTAATGAGTTCTTTTGTGAATGGGATGCCATTTAGCATTGAAAATGGCGTGTATTATTTGCATGTAAGGAAGTACCACTGTGCTGAGTGCATGTGGCATTAAAAGCGCTGCTTTTGGGAAATACGGAGTAAATAATTGCTTACGTTCAACCTAATCTCTAAAGTTGGATGTCAAAAAGGTTTGAAACTTCAACCAAAATTTCAAGATTCCACACTTCACCTTTGCTGCTTTTGTTAGTGCTTTATTACTCGCCTATCTCTTATACTTCCATAATTACTATCTTACCTTTTTTATTTTTAGGCTAAATGATCAAATAGGTCATGCATCGGTCGTGTAAATTCAATTCAGTCTCTGAACTAAAAAATGTTCAATTCGCATCCCGAACTGACAAAGAATGGTTCAAATGTCATTTTTTACGGGTAAACAACCGGTCATTTTTTTTTAATTTTTTTATTGTTTCTGTTTTTATTTTTGATTTATTGCAATTTTGACACTTTTTAATAGTTTAAGGGTGCGAATTGGACCTTTTTACCGGTTGTTTACCTGTAAAAAATGAAATTTGAACCTTTTTTTGCCAATTCGGGGTGCGAATCGGACCTGTTTTACTGGTTGTTTACCTGTAAAAAATGAAATTTGAACCTTTTTTTGCCAGTTCGGGGTGCGAATTGGACCTTTTTTTAGTTCAGGGACTGAATTGAGCTTACAAGAACGGTACACGGGCCTATTTGACCCTTTAGCCTTATTTTAAAGTCCAATTTGGAAGTTTCATTGCCTTAATTTTCTCATAAATTGTATTATTATCTCCTTTGAAATTGTCATTGATTATTAAGTTTTAGTATATATCATTAAAAAAATGGATTCCTTATATGTTTTATAAATGGATTCCTTATATGCCTTAATATATTGTCATTTATTAGTATAAATGACAAAACATTATGTTCAAGGTATATGTTTTTTTTTTTGACAAAACATTAAGGAAGTACAAATCATTAAAACATTAATGATAAAAGGGGATGTAGGAAGTAACAGTTGCCTATATAGTTTTACCATTGAATAGTTTACTTTCGATTAAAATGAAGTTTGTACTATGGGATTAGAAGCGGAAAAGGACATTTTCTTTGATTGATTTTTTATACTCTAGACTAGACATGATATGATAAGTTTTTTAGTAAGGGTGGGCTCCAGAACTAGTGCATGGGATCTACTATAATTTGGACTTGTCTTATAGGATTAGTCTAGTTTAGTACTAAAACAAATTTATTAATTGATCTAATTCTCTTTTTTGACCCAGATTAATAAATTCTCCTGGGTATGCCACTAGAAGTTAGAATGTACGTGAAAAATAGGAATACGCAGTATTTCTCGTGTACTGCTTCGTGCGTATTTAACATTTTAGGATTTGTCCCATTCAAGTTTGAATTTGAGTTGGGAAAACTTTAAGAAAAGGAACTACACTTCTATGGTTTAACATTGACATATTATCCCAAATGGGACTAAAACAGTTTGAAAATTCCAAAATAAGACTTCCATGTTTTTATTCCCGAAATATGACTAATTACTGTCATGTTTTGGCAGTACCAGACTTTAAACATTGCAGTATTTTCCAAGTTTGACAGTAATTAGTCCTATTTTGGGAATAAAAACATGACAGTCCTATTTTAGAATTTTCAAACTTTTTTAGTCCTATTTCGGGAACTTTCCCTTTAACATTTTGTAGAAAAGAATGGAGAAACACTGTTGGTACTTACAAGTGAAAAAGTACTACTCCGTATTAAAGGCGCGCGGTCTCATGGTCAAAAAACATTCTGATTAGAAAGGACAAAGGGAATATATTGTAATTAAGTGCAACTTTTTATCTAAGACCATTTAGAGTGGTGAGGTATTAGGAATCCAAAATGCTAAATGTAGAATTTTTGGACTCCTAATTGTGTGTAGTGATAGTTTAAAAGGGGTATTAAAAATGGAAGAGGGGATGAAAGTTATTAAATATAGAGGGTTGGTTAAAAGGGGAGTGGGAAAAAGAAAAAGAAGAGAAAAGAGAACGCAGTTTGCTATTCTGGTGCGGATGATGTCATGCTGATGTCATCCCTGCATCATAATATCCCAAAAAAATTTAAACTTTTATAACTTTTTTAGTTTTTATCCAAATTTTTCAAAAAGTATATCAAAATTCATAAATTTTTATGATATTTCATATGACACCAATATGCAATATATAAAAATGATTTTTTTTTTAAGTTTTAACTGTTGAAGTTTTCTTGAGCCCCGGAAAAACATGAAACATAAATCTTTAATTCATGAAGCCTTCACAAATAATTGAATATTCCATAATTGAACTTTACTTGAATTAAGTTCATATTTTGTTAACCGAAAAACATAAAAAACATTAATGAAATTTATTTATTTTTATATCGAAATATGTCTTTTTTATTTTATAATTAATCAGAGAAAAAATTAAAGCGAAAACATTACTTATAATAATTTAATTAATGTTTTACTAAATTGACATGTAAAAAAATGTGTATAGTGTATTTTATTGACGGTGCTGGAATGCAGAGAAATAGGAGTCAAAACACTGTTTTCATATGGACGGAGTCCATTTTTGACATTTAGACTCCCTCACCTCTCCAAATGGTCTAAGAATATAGATTTTCTCAACAAAAAAAAATACAGATTAAACAAATGTAAAGTTTATTAAATACGATTTTTCTTTTTGTGTCTAAATTCAAAGATCTCAATAGAGATGGTTAATGATCGGTATGACCGTTTATTTATTAATTATTAATAATTATAATTATTAATAATTAATAACATATTGGATATATATACCAAATTAGCGCACCAGTTGGCATGTATATATGGTAGCATGTATTTAATAGTCTTATTGGCTAGTTCATCAATTCATATAAATAAGACTTTAGTTCAACTTATCATTGCATTGGGCGCATCAGATAATTAATATTCATTTGATTTGTTTGATAATATTCATTTGATTGATGTTATGATGTTAATAGTATAATACTCACATGCATCATATGATATAGTATGGTCAAATTTTTTTATTTATATGAGTTGGTATGTGTTATGTGTATTATATGTACTAGTGTAACACCCGGGTATGCCCCAGTAGTGATAATTTGATACACATATGATTGATGTGTGAGGAATCACCATTTTTTAGATGATGAATTTATGGTTATATTGTGGTTTATATATTTCAACTAAAGACTTAGTTCAACTGATCATTGCATTGGGCACGTCAGATAATATTCATTTGATTTTTTTTGGATAATATTCATTTGATATGATGCATGTTAATACTCACATGCATCATAATATCATACGTAATATGATATAGTATGGTCAATTTTTTTATGGGGTTTTTACCGAAATATTACTAAAATAAACTTATTAACATAAATATAATTATTCATTACTAGAATGTAGTGTTGTGGTAACTTAAGTTCAAAATTTGAACATGAATTAGTGTGATTTCAATATATGGGTTGAGATGTGTTATGTGCATTATATGTATCTTTCATAATACGCGCATGGTGCATATGATAGTTATCGAACTATTCAGTTGATAATTGATAACATACAAATTTAAATAAATGACGATATTATATTGAGATAAAAAGTAATTAGAAAGTTTGGTGTAAATGAACTATGATGAAAACGGTTAGTAACACAAGAGGGGGTGAATTGTGTGTGTGTGGAACCGTGTCAGTTTTTAGCTCAGTTCTAGTGTGGGGTAAGGGAATTGCGAAATAGTAAAGTGCACAAGTATTTAACGAGGAAAAATCCCTTGGCTCAAAGGGATTAAAAAACCTCGACCTCCCTCGGAGGAATTTTTAACAACTTCACTAGAACAAGCCTTGAAAGAGTTACAAGAGTGATTCTCCTAATCTACCATTGAGCCTCCCCAACTCTATCCTCTCTAGGAAGAGTTATGCGTCTCTACCTTGCGAGTAGAGAGCCTCTCAGCTTTATCACAAAGCTCTCTCACACACACTTGACCCAACCCGAGGCAGCTACTCTTGCTAAGCCTCAATATCCCAAATACACAATAAGAAGGAAAAGAAAAACTCTATCTAGAACTCCGAGCGGGCAGTTTCAGGCGCCAAGGACTTGATCCTTTTCTTGAATGATTCTTCTAAGTATTTTTCTCGGTTCAGCACCCATCTCTCCTTT